ATGCTTTTGAATTTGATTTGCTAATCTTTTATAGCCTCTGTTTTCAATTTTTGCCTTTGTTTTCATCAGGGATATTTGCCCATAATTTTCTTTTAATGTTCTTGTCTGGCTTTGGTTTCGGGGTAATGCTGGCCTTGTAAAATGAGTCTGAAAGTCTTTCCCTCCTCTTCTATATTTTGGGAGAATTTGAGAAGGATTGGTGTTAGTTCTTTTTTAAATGGTTTGAGGAATTCACCAGTGAAGCTATTTGGACTTGGGCTTTTCTCTGTTGGGAGGTTTTGGTTATCCCTGCTTTCTTTTGGTTTCCATTCGCATGGAATTTTTAGGCATTTTGAAGCAACATTTCTCAGTGGTTAGCTACACAGTCTTTGGAAGCAGATTCATGTCCCAACTGTGTGATCCTTGGCAAGTTACTTAACCTCTCTAAGCCACAGTTTTCTCATTTGGAAAACGGAGGATAAAAATATTCCTGCCTGAGAGGAGTATTGAGAAGAATAAATGAGATGAAACCTTTAAAAATATTTGCTGCATGCCATACATGTAGTTAACACTTGATAAGTATTAACAATGGTTGTTATTTTTCTTAATAATCTTACGCCACTCCAGATTCGAGTTAGAATTAATATTCTAGCACTCCTGACTTCCTTTGACTTTTAATACCTGGTAAAGAACGTTGACTACTGAGGCCAAATTGCTGTGCCATCCAACAGTTGTTTGATCCTGGGCAAGTTACTCAACTTTTTTGTACAGTTTCCTCATCTGTAGATAGAAGATAATTATAGTACCTACTGCATGATGCTGTTGAGATTAAATGAGTTAATATTTGTTCAGTGCTAAGAGCAGTGCTTGCCACACAGTAACTGTTATGCAAACGTTTGTCAGATAAATAAAAATGAGGTTCCTCTGTGTTGTGAGTGGCTTTTTTGTTTCTGGAGTCATGGAATCCCATCCTTTGCTGCATTCATCCTGGCACAGAGAAAACTCCTCACTCAGTGCCTGCAGCAGTTAGATATTAGGTCAGCATCTTAAAAGAAACTGGACCTTTATTTGCCTTAGAGTGTCCTCTCTGTGAAAGGTCATGGTACCTGAGAATAGGGTAGGTGGATGTCTTCCTGGAGTGATACAGGAGTAAACTTTTTCCTGATGCCAGAAATGCAGACTCAGTGCCCTGTCAGCCTGAGTCTGTATTACTGTTTGTATTTCCATTGCAGGTGGCACGTTTTTCTAACTTAACTGCCTCTCCTGACTGAACAAAGAGCCTTCAGTTCATGTGTGCTTATTGTGAAGTTGATGCATTCTTGTCTGTCTTAACCTTTCTGACAAAATGAGGAAGTTGAGGAATTAAAGCCAGTTTGGCCTGCTGGGAACACAAAAGGAAGTTTTGGTAAGGATCAGTCAGTGTGCTCTGTTGCTAATCAACATTGTTTTCAGTAATAACGATGAGTTCCATTAGCACTTCTCTGACACTTGGCAAGACCATCCCCCCCACTCCACCGGCTTCCTAGAGACCCAGACATTTCATTATCTTTGGATTCACTTGGGGTAGCCCTTTCCCCCCCAAAAGATCTCAGCTCAGACAAAGCTTTCTGCTGGCCTCTGATTATTCTTGTCAAGCTAAAGTGATGACCTTGGAAACACAACACAGGGACTCTAAATGAAAGTTACATTGGAATTCTTGGAGGAAGGTCAAAGTCATAATTGATGTGCATTCCTTCTACAATCTAAGTCTAAACCTATATCTAAAATCTACAACACTTTTAGCATTTTGTGAAGGCATGTCCATGAAATGAACCTATGTGATGATGGAGTTGTGCCTTTTCTCCCGGGGCTGCCCTCTCGGGACCATTCAATTCATTTCAGTCAGTCTTGTCTTTGCCTTGGAAAACAAACCTTTCTAGAGGGCCTGGACAAGATAAAGCAGACCCTGGCTGGTGCCAGAACTCCAAGCTTTTCATTGCTTCCCCAGGAAGGCAGACCTTTGTTTCTGAAATACCCAGATGATGCAGCTCTGCTTTGCATTCCCTCAGATGCCCTAAAGTGAGGAAAGAGACTGTGATATCCTTGAATCCCTACTGATAGCTTTCCTGTCAGCATGAGTCACTCAGGAATGGCAGCAGGAAAATTGGGGTGGTGGATGGAGGGGGGTTGGGGTTGGGGTCCACGCACTCATGCTCAGGACTTTGGTTAAATCCACATTTTAGTTTCAGGTTTTGTTTGCCCCCATCTGTTGATAAACAGTACTTTTGTGGGGCAAGCTCCTCTCCAGGTCGTATCCTAGTTCTGTTCTCCTGAGACCACAGCTTATTATCTCCAGGCTGGTGAGGCCTTCTAGGAATCAGTGGAACTCCCCTAGATGAGACCATTGCTCTCCTTTCTCCTTTTCGCCAACCAGAATAACAGATGTGATATTGATTTCATCTTGGCTGTGGAAGTTCACTAATAACTGTTCTGAACTTTGTGGTATCTTAAAATTGGCCGATGAAATAGAAATTTGTAGATGAAACCACAAGTATCTCTGTAATCCTGGAGAAAGAGCCTCTGAATCAGATAACACTGGTTTTTCCTAGTGAGAAACAGATGGGACATTGATTTTGTGCTTAGAACTTATTACTTGCTTAGGAGCTTGGTGGCATTATTTAGCCTAGACCATTGAGAAATGTCCTAGTCATCTCCATCTATGGTTAATAATTTCATATACTTAAGAGGCAGTCACTGAATTCAATACATAGTTCCCAAGGCTAATTTTACAAGACCTGCTTCTGGTTGTTTATATTATATGGCTTTCACTTAAAAATCTAAGATTGCAGGTGAGGGAGGCACATTTACTAGCATTGTTGTCATTGTTTAGTCACTAAGTTGTGTTCAACTCTTTGTGACCCCATGGACTGTATCCCACCAGGCTCCTCTGTCCATGGGATTATCCAGGCAAGAATGTTGGAGTGTGTTGCCATTTCCTTCTCCAGGGGATCTTCCTGACCCAGGGATCAAACCTGCATCTGCAGCATTGGGAGGCGGATTCTCTACTGCTGAGCCACCAGGGAAGCCCTTTACTAGCATATGTGTATTAAAAAGCCCCCTGTGGGACCCAGGACAAAGTGAATGTCCAGCAGATGGGGACAGTCACATATTTATGAGCTGAGATGGCAAAAGGGAACTTCATGTCATACTCTGGTTTCAGGTCACATGAAGGGGTGCTACATGAATGTGCATTTCTGCCTCACACACACATCCTGAGTATCTCAAACCCCTCGGTGTTTCAGGCCATAGAAAAAATATTGTGAACACTTATTTTTACTTAGCCCCTATATGATACTTTACAGGAGAAGGTATTCTAAGTCTTATACTATTTAAAGGAAAATGTTGCATTTTCAAAATGGGGTTTGGGAGTTGTTTACTAAGTCTCATTAGGTTGGATGTTCTGTTTGCTTTAATAATCCAGCTAACATCAGGTGGTGAGAATAATAATCCTTAGTCATGTCACTGATAAGGGTCCTAAAACCCTTGAATAGCAATTGCAGTTGCATCTCTACAGATTACCCATGTAAGTGAGAGGTGGGGACATAGGGTTTTTGTGTGTGTGTAAAGGGGAAGATGGACTTGCCTGGTGACTCAGTGGTAAAGAATTCACTTGCCAATACAGGACACTTGGGTTCAATCCCTGGGTCGGGAAGATCCCCTGGAGAAGGAAATGGCAACCCACTCCAGTATTCTTGCCTGGGAAATCCCATGGACAGAGCTGCCTGGTGGGCTCCATGGGGTTGCAAAGAGTCGGGCACGATTTAGCGATTAAACAACAACATGGGGAAGAGGCATTAGTATTTATTAAGTGTATTATGCAACAGGGTCTCTGCTAAATGTATCACATATATTTTCTCATTTCATACTTAAAACAATCTCATGAGGCAAGATTTGTTATCCCCATTTCACAGAAGAGGAAGTTTGGCAAGAGTCACAAAGATGATATAAGAAAGCACAGCTGCCTACTCAGTGGGCTCCGTGGTCTCTTGCTGGGCAGTTTTGAGCATATAGAATGCCAATCCAGTTGCACAGAAGCTTCTAGCAGTCTGTCAAGGCTCTGCATGACCATTTCCTCTTTCTGTTCTGAGAGGGAGATTCTTTAACACCTGCAAAGCCAGCACTGTTGCTGGCCCACTTCTGATTATAAGCCACACAGAATTTTCTCAGGCTTTTCTCGGAATGAGGTGTGTTTAATAAAGAGCCTTGTACCCAGTGGGCTCACAGAGATATGTTGAAAAAGGAAGTCATTTGCTGGAGCTAGTAACACTATCTCTCTGAAAAGAGTATACTTTGGGCAAGATCAGTATCATAATGGGGGCCCTACTGAGATGCATGAACTCTGGATACCAAACAGTCTCACTAAGGAGTTGTATAGTTGGGTATTTTATCTCACGTTGCCAAAAGAGGAAACTTCTGAATTAGTTTGGCCAGGTAGTGCTAAGCACTTTTATGAGATATTTTCCTCTCAGCAGGGCCGAGGGAGCTGTCCATTCCTTTTTCTGTCACAGACCAGTGAGTCCAGCAGCAGAAAGCTGCCACGACTCAGGCTCTAGGCAGGACTATGACGTACCTTGAAAGAGCTAGTTCTGTTCTTTGTAGCCACATTTCACAGGGCAAGATTGGTCCTTAACTATTATATTGAGAGTCCTTAACTATTATATTGAGAGTCCTTAACTATTATAAGACTGTCTCCCATTATAGTAATTTTGAACCAAATTCTACCTTCCCTTTCATCTCAGTCATAAATTTGGGCAAACTGTTACTAAAGGTACTGTTATGTCAGCCTTATAATCCCCACTGATTAACATGAAAAATCAGCTTACTGTTCCTCAAGTTGTGCTTTTTCATTCTTGGGTACAAACACAGTTTTGAAAACAATAATCTGGGTACAGTCTGAATCAACTGACCAGGTCTTTCCCTTCCCACACTCATCAGAGGGAGTGAGAGAAAAGAAACAGATAAAGGAAGAAAAAGGCGGGGAAGAAAGAGTGAGGCAGTGTTTATTGAGACAGAAATGTAACATTGTTCTTTTTTATGAGTTAACAGCACAGTTTGTTAAGAGGCTGGTTACAAACTCACTCCAAAATAAGGATGACCTGCAGTTCAGGAAGAGCTCTGTCAGCTCTAGTACCTCAAGTCGGAGCAGCCTGCCAAGGGGGTTGAACCATTCAGCCCAAGATAAGTTACTGATTCAGCTGAATTTATATTTACTTCCTATAAATAACACCAATATTAGCAGTTTAAAATTCACATTTAATCACGGGTCCATTTTATGTTTACATGATCATTTGGTATCATTCTCTTAAATATTTCAGGTGCAGGTGGTCAATACAGAGCTTTTTTTTCTTTTTCAAACTATTCCATGATCTTTGGCACAGTTTCTGGTTTCTTAGCTAGGCTTAAATTGGCTATGCAGTACTGCAGAAACAGGACTATTTTGGATCTTGGTGTAACTACAAGTTTATGTTAAGCATTATTTACAAGATGAGAGTCAAGCACAGACTTTAATACACTGTCTTCACAAATGAGCAGAAGAATGACAGGCAACAGATTTTAATGAGCAGGGGCTGAGATTACTAGACTACTAGTTAGTTAGAACCATCTTTCCTGGAAGAGGAGACAAGTTTCATTCAATGCAAGAATTCCCTGAACCACTGATACCAATGTCTCATGTCATGGGATTTACTTTGCAAGAATCTAGGACAGAGACAGTGCTTTTCTGGCCAGTGTGGCTTACTCGATCCATCAAACCTATATTAAAATACAACTTAGCTGGAAGCCTTGCCACTGTTATTTGGGACTGATGGGTAGAAAAACGCAAAGTACTGTCATTTTAAGTGGGTATAATTGACCTTGGGAGAATTATAGTTGGATAAAATACTTATTAAACACATTCAGCTGGATAAAAACCATCCAGCCTTATATGAGTGACACCTTTGTGTATAGTCTTATGTAGAGCTGATAATGGATTGCCTCCCAGCAGTAGCATCTGGAAGCTCTAAATGAGTGGCTGTGCTACCAGAATGTGTCTCTGCTTTGGGGCTGATACTCAGACATGAGACGAACAACTAGCATGATTTCTCATTCTAGTAGTGCTTATGAGAGAGGAGTTCTGATTAAGCCCCAAAGCAGATCTGGATTGCAATCATAGTTATTATTCAAGTACAAGGAGAGCGCTTTATTTCACATTGAGAGTTCAATTCTGACCTTTGTCTGGCAAATTATATGAAAATAATATATATATATATATATATCTAGCTCTCTACTGAACACTGGGTCAGTAGTTACCAGCGTCCCCATACAGTACATTGAGAAAAAGAAATCTCTCTTCTCCCCAAATCTCACACCCATCTTAAAACTGTTATTGCAGAACTGTGCTGGTCTGTTTTCTTTCAAAGTAGTTCCTTTGAAATTGGCTGGAGATGGGTTCAAAGTGGACAATTTGGCACATTAACTTTGGGGGGGCTGTTGTTTAGCTTCATTATAGTCTATACAAATGTGAGAGGTCAAGGGAAATCCATGGCAATAGAAAGCCTGAGTAAAAATGTATAGTCGATGACAGAATATATATATATATATATATATTTTAAAAACCCAAAACACTGGTCTGTGCATGAGAAAGCAATTTCTCTTTCACATCTATTACCTAATTAAAACAGTTACGTCTATTCTATGTACTTTTCAATTCTGTCTCATAGAGTTTAAAAATTCCAGATAATACAGCTTTCTTTTTAATCAGTTTCCTCTCATCTTACCCCACCCCAAAATCCCAGAACCTGGTGAGCAAAAGCTGTGAATCCAAATATAGAAAATAATCTGGAGGTCTGTATATCAAATCAGATGTACATTTGGCTGTTAGTGTTTTCCTTATTTAATGTCTGAATTTGCTAAGAGATGACTCTCCTGGAGAGGTCCTTCACCACCCCCAGTCTTCTGAAGCCAGAGGCCCTAGAACTGTGAGGTCTGGGTGAACGAGATGGTATCGGACTTGTCGACAGCAAAGCCTCCATTGACGTAGGACTTCTTGGTGTCTGAGTCCTCGTTGTCAAGTGTTGTGGATTCCAAGGTGAAAGGGTTCACAATGTTGACCTCCGATGAAACATCCATCTGCTCCAACTCCTTCTTGGAGAGCTTCTCCACGATGCCAGTCCCAAAGGCATCTCCAAGGACATTCACCATGGTCCTGAACCGGTCCCTGGGGAGGACAGAAGGTGAGTCAGACACGAAGCCCGGGTTTCACTTTCCTTCGAGCTGGAGACAGGACAGGACCTGAAGAATTCAGTTATAAATTCAGCAAACCACAGAGGGTGCTTCTCAGGGCTGGCTAACCAGAGGCCCCCCACTTCACAGGCCTGGATCAGGCATTGTCTCTAAAGGCACAGAATGAGCACACAAGCTGCCCCGGATCCTTGTCAGTCACGACGCCCCTGAATCCAGCATCAATCTCCTAAATTCCCTCCTCTCCTCCCAAAGAAATGTGAACACAATCTCCACAGATATTTGTGGGGGTGGGGGCGGTCAGGATTCATTAGTCTTTCACCCTAGCCTCTGTCTTGTGTGCATTTCTGAGCTTTCTCTTGGCTAAGGTGAGAGAACCTGGATGTTTTGTGGGGTGGTGTGTGTGTGCCAAGCAGGAGTGTGTATCTGTGTGTCCCCAGTGTGCTGCTTTCTTTCCCACACAAGGTCACTCCATGAGCAAGCCAGCAAGGATGCCGCTGAGCACAGGGTCAGAAAACCCAGGTCAGCCTGGGAACAGCTTGCCCCTTGTGGCACCTCAGCTAGTGTTAACTCCCAGAAGTCCTGGAGGAGAGGCCAGCAGCAGGAAGACGAGGAGGTGGAGACGGTATCTTGGATGCTGGAGCATTGTTGCTAGGAACTGTCTATATGAATGTTCCTGTGAAAGCTACACCGGCAGGACAGAAAAGGCCAACAGTGCTCCCACGTGTCCATTCTGGGTGCCCTCCTGCTATATAGAACATGGACTGAACGAGACCCTTCTGTAGACCAGCCTAGTGTCTTTTTGTTCCATGGATCAAGTTGCCCCTTTGACTTCTCTGGGTGTCTTGGAAGTGAAGGTCACCAGTGTTCCAGGAAGAACCAGGGAGAGGAGAGAGTGCAAATCTACCATCACCACTAGATAAAAGGCACTTGTCTCAACAGTAGGGTATCTTGACAATAGTAGGGTATCTAAGGGGTAGGGTAATTGAAGAACCAGCAAGCTGTTGAGGGGACCCCAGAGCAGCCTCCCAAGTGCAGAAGCTTCTCTCCTTTGGGGGTGTGACTGTACCTTCAAAGCCACATGGAATGTTTCTGCTTCTCTTTCTACCATTTTTAGCTGCTACTTGCAAACTACATGGCACTGTACTCCCCAGTAAGTTCGGCTGGGTCTGAGTGAAGGCTCAATATGGAGCAAACTTTTCCCCTGATGGCCAGGGGACAGAACCAGACCCAGATACTGAAAGACCACTGTACAGATTGGGTATCAAGGTTAAAGCCAGGAACCAGGCTCATTCTAAGTTTAACATTGGGGGTCACAAAAGGCATGTTTTTTACCCAGATCTGCTGTGTTCCTTAGGGAGGGAGGTGTGTGTGAAAGAGAGAGAGGGAATGAACTTTTGGCTTAGGTTTGAATGGTCCAACTCATTCTAATCCTGACAATTAAACTTGCATTAACTGAGCACATACTGCCAGCCAGACACTGTTGTGGACACACTTCTCACAATAGCTCACTTAGTCCTTACACCAACCCCATGAACTTGACAGAATCATGACCCCATCTCACAGATAATGCAGCTGGCCCCCAGAGAGGTTAAGGAATTGCTCAAGGTCAAACAGCCACTGAACCAGGATTCAAATCCCAATTAACCTTATCCTGAAGCCCTTACTTGTGTCCTGACGGTGCTGACGATCTTGGTAAAGTGGGCTGATGCTGAAATAGGTGGTTCTGAACCTATGGTGCTAACCCAGGGCTGGGATAGGCTAGGGTGGCCTGCGGGATTTGGAATGTCTGAGGCCTTGCCCAGTGTCTTCACCTTATTATTTTATGTTGTTTATCTCATCCCACACCCAGATCCTAACCTTGAGCATTATCAGGCATAATACGCTAATGAACATCACTGCCTTTATAAAATCACTGCTTGAAGTTAGGAGAAGTTAATTTTTAAGCACGTTATCAGATGGCCTGGTCAGAGGGACATTAAAGCAGCAACAGATGGCTCATTAGGCAATCTGAGGAGGGGATGATGACAGACTGCAGAGTCTGCATGGCTGGGAAGCATGCCTTCCCATCCGGCAGAGGCAGCACATTTATTCCAACTCACAGGAGCCAGTCAACAGCGATGATGAGGGTGACATCCTCCGCGGGCAGGCCCACAGCACTCAGCACAATCACCATGGTCACCAGGCCGGCCTGGGGCACACCGGCAGCTCCGATGCTGGCGGCGGTGGCAGTGACACTGTAGACAAGACACACCAGCACAAAAGGAGTTAGACACCCATTTCTCCCTCCAGGCCCCTGGTCCACAGTGCTTAGTCCCGTGGTCTGTTACTGCTGTGTCCCAAACTGGCCAGTCAGAATCTGTTCCCTGCTGAGCACCAGCTCTGCCTCATTAGGGAGTTGTGGGAGACAGAGGGGAGTGTGAGCTTTTTCCAGGGGGAGGTGTGGCTCATCATTCTAATACAAGGAAGTGGAGAGGAGCTGCATGAGCAGCACACAGTGAATGAGCTAGAGAGGAAGGCAAGAGTTTACCAACCGAAGGTGTTAATGGAGGGCGTTATCCACCCATCTCTGCATCCTTCCATCCTAAACAAGGGCCAGGTACATCTCCACCTGTTTGCTTCCCCCCTTCATCCATCTACTCAGCCAAGCAATCATTTATTGAGGATCTAATATGTGGCAGCAATTTGTACTGCTTTGAAGGATGGTAGAGGGATTGGGTTAGGGGTGCGTGGGCAAGGATATTCTGGGCGAAGGCAAAGGAATGAGGCACTAGCCAAGCAGGTTTCATGTACTTCCTTTACACCACAAGACTCTTGACCTCTCTGGGAACTGCCCTTTAGAGCACTGAGTTGAGAAATAGCTATGACTCCTGTCCAAGGTACAAGGCTTATTCCTGACCGCTCCTTTCTGCCAGTGGGCGCCCTTTGTGCAAAAGGAGGAGAGATCTGGAATCCAGAAGAGGATTTTAAAAAGGTCCCTCTCAGGTGGATAAAATGTGGCACTAGGGATATTTCTCTTTGGAATAAGCAATTTTTCATTAGCAACATCTTCCAGATTTAAATCTGGTCATTTTGAAGAAAACCAGGGTTTGCCCTGCCCTGAAAAGTTCCTGGATTTGAATGAGCTTTGAGGGGACCTATTATATTTTCTAGACACACGTTCTCATCCTTGGGCTAAGGATGCCACTGGGTTGAAAGCTGAAGATGGAGACACTGTCAATTTAAACTAGAAGAATCCCTGATTCTATCCACAAATCCATATTCTGTGGGCTCGAAAAGCCTCAGAATTCTCACCAACCTGATTTACTGCTCATTCATCTGCCTGGTGCTGTGTCACAGATGGTATCTGAGGGCCTGGTCAAACACAGACCAGAGTTCTTTAAGTGTGGTTTCCTTCAGTGGCTGTGACCACCAATTTGCAGTTAAGAGATTTCTGGGGCTGTCCAAATCCCTCTAAAAGTTTTGGGCTTTTGCATAATCCTTTAGATCTGTTCTGACTTAAATAGTCTTTGGAAAAGCTAAGTTCATGTCAGTGCTGGTTGAAAACATTTAAACTGAATGCATCGGTGGGTTTTCTTTGTCAGAAGTGATTTGTGCCCCTACCCGTTGATCCTTATTGGAAGCCTCAACACATAATGGTTAACAATATCCCTATGGCTTGAGGCTGGGCTTGAAACTCAAAATCCGTTTTGTCAAAGAAAACTCTGCCCATTAGCCTTGACCTTGCTGATTGAACTTCAGCCATTTGCCTGGCTTCAGTCTGAAACTTGGAACTGTAAATCTTCAGATGGGGGTAAAAATATAAAAACCTACTTGTTCTGCTTGAATATATACTATTTTGACTTTCAAGGGTTTTCAAAGAAGAAGACACAGTAATCATTGGTAGAAAGTTCTTTCCTAAGCACTGAGATCTAGATTTATGTCAGGCCATCTAACTCAGCTCTCCACACAGGACAGGGACTAGGTAGTGAACTAGAGTGAGCACAGGTTTTAGAGGCAGACAGACCCAGCTCTCCTCTTTACTAACAGCGTGTCCTTAGGCAGGTTAGTTTTCTGAATCTCAGTTTCTTGCCTGTAAGATGGGGAGAATATGTCTACTTTGCAGGGCTGCCGGTAAGATTAGATGAGATAAAACATGTAAGATATCAAGTACAGCACCTGGATATAGTAGGTGCTTAAAACTGAGGCCATTTTGCTCCTTCAGCAGCTGTTACAATTACTTCTGCTAGTATTACTACTATTACAAAAATAACTACTGTTACTACTACTGCTACTTTTTTCCTCTAAGCTCTTTCTAGGTCCCAAATCCCCTAATTATCTTGTGTTGTAAGAAAATTTATCTCATTTCCAACCAGTTGTAACCTTTGGTAAGTGAGTATTATGACAAACCATAAAAGGCCATGTTTTGGGTGGATGGTGCCTGTGTTTCTTTGATGTCTAGTCCAAAAGAACCATAGAAAGAGAGAAACTATGGGTCCAAAAATCTTAAAGCCATAAACCACATAAGCCACAACTGTGACTTGTAAAATGAAAAGAAAAAAAATTGCACTGGACACTTCCCTGGTGGTCCAGTGGCTAAGAATCCACCTGCCACTGTAGGGGATGTGGGTTCCATCCCTGGTCGGGGAACCAAGATCCCACATGCAGCGGGGCAACTAAGCCTGTGCCACAACTACTGAGCCCAAGTTCTAGAGCCCTCAGGCCATGTGGAAAGATCCTTCCAGTTGCAACCATGACCCGAGGCAGCCAAAAATAAATATTTACAAACAAAAACAAAATGACTTCTTATTTCATTCTATCTAGAGCCAGAGAGGATTTTTAAAGTCAATAATTACTCTGGGCCTCACAGTTGTTATTTGCTCTGGGCCAGTAGTTATCAGCAAGTTTGATTTAAAAATACAACAGAGCAGAAAGAGAGAGTTTTCATGTGATTATTTAGTCTCTAGGCCCAAAGTTTATTCCTCTAGCAGTGAGGTTAAAAAAAAAAGGAAGGGGTTAGAAAGATCTAGGAAACTCACAAGCAAAGCAGAGGGAGGGAATTCATCCCCCAAATGGCAAATAACCGCAAAGAACTGGCACTTCATACAACTGCTCCCTGGAAATGAGTTCAGCACAGAGTTGGTGCCACAGGCTGAGGTGAGGGAGGTGGGAAAAGGCACTTGGAGAAGTGAAAGAACAACTGCTAGAATTACAGAGGTTGTGGAACTTTCTCAGGTATGATTCAGGGTTTTACTTTTAACATACTCTCCACTATCCAAACTAGAGAACTTCACTCATGCTCCTGGGCTCCAGCCTCCTTAGCCACTAATACTCTTTACAGATCATGAGGCACTGGTGTAGTTTCCCAGCTTATGTTCCAAATGGTCTAGTTTGGACTTGTCTTCAGTTAATTTCAAGCAAACTGCAATAAATATGATTTAGGATTGGGAAGATCTAAAAATTTACTGCACTAGAACACTGTAAGAACTTACTTTATGCCTAGGATTTATGCCTATGTCACATGCTGAGGATGTAAGAGTGGATTAACCCTGAAAGGTTCAGATTCAGCAGTGTTTAGGCCTAGGGACCCAGGTTAGTCTTAAACTTCCACCCTAAACTAAGGGCTTCCCTGGTGGCTCAGATGGTAAAGAATCTGCCTGCAATGCAGGAGACCGGGTCCAATCCCTGGGTCAGGAAGATCCCTTGGAGAAGGGAATGGCAACCCACTCCAGTATTCTTGTCTAAAGAATTCCCTGGACAGAAGAGTCTGGTGGGCTTTATAGTCCAAGGGTTGCAAAGACTTGGACATGACTTTCAAACTCAGCTAAAGTCTTAGGATTATCTCTAATCCCAATTCATCACTTCAAAGCAGCACTGTCCAGTAGAATTTTCCACTATGATGACATCTATTTCTACAGTGATAGAACCTTCATGTCTACTCTGTCCAATTTGTGCATGTGGCTAATGGCTACCAAATTGAACAGTGCTGTTCCAGAGAAACACCTCTGGCAAAATTCACTAAAAACATTTTCACCATCTACTTGAGCAGGCAATTTCAGGCTTCACTTGACTAGAATTCTCTGCAAGATTTGACTCTGTTGACCATTTCATCCTTGAAAATCTCTCTTCTCTGGGTTTCTATGACACCATGGTTTCATGACTCTTAACCACCTTTCTATTCTCATTCTCCTCTTGGGTGCCCCCCTTTCTGCCTGCCTCTAATACTAGGATTTTCTAGGGCTCACGCATTAGTTTCTGTCTCTTCTCTACAAACTCTCCCATTCCCAACAATTGCTGAGCACTCAGTATGTAGGTACCATTCTAAGTACTTTATATGCATCAGCTGACTTAATAATCACTATTTGCATAAAATGTAGGTACTATTATTATCCTCATTTTACAGATGAGAAAACAGAAGCTTAGAGAATTCAAGGTCACAGCTAATCTTGGTGAAGCAGAGTCAAACACAGATAACTGACTCACAACCCACATGCTTGATGAGCATCATCAAACTGATGACTCTGACTTCTGTATCTGCAGTCAAGACCACATTTCTCACTGTATGTTTCCACCTGGATGTCTTAAAGGATTTTCACATTCATTGTATCCAAAAGTATAAGCTCTTAATCTTCCCACCTATACTTCATTCTCTTACACTACTCCCTGTTCTGATAAGCACCATCCACCAATACGGGGGGCCATCTTAGCCTTCCTCTGTCCCTCACTCTGAATTCAGTAGATGCCTCTTGAATTAATTAGCTCTTCACCCGTGGGTCAGTACCTTAATGTAGGCCTTTTCATACTTTACCTGCAGTAATCTTCTAACTGGTCTTCCAGCTTACAGTTTCTGCCCCCATTCACATTCATCCACTAAATTACCAGTTACCTTTCTAAAATGCAAATCTTTCTATAATATGAAAGACTGTCTAAGACCCTTCCATGAGCTCCTCACACAAATCCTTCCATGATATGATCCCTGCTTTCTTATCTCCCTATGTTCTCCACACTGTACTCTTTATGCCAGCCACACCAAATCTGTACTGTGTAACTAGGAACTAGGACACGGTTACATCAAGACCCCTGTTCAGCCTATTCCTTTTATTCAAAATGTTCTCCACTTCCTCTATCAAATTCTTACTCCTCTTCTAAGACTTAGCTAAACTTTCCTCTCTTCCAGGAAGCTTTTCCTCACCTTCCCAGGTGGGCCAACCCTTTCTTCTTTGGTGCCCCTGTGTCCCACATTCAAACCTCTGTTATAGCCTTTACCATATCACTCAGCACTTATTTGAAGTGAAGTGAAAGTCTCTCAGTCATGTCTGACTCTTTGTGGCCCCATGGACTATACAGTCCATGGAATTCTCCAGGCCAGAATACTGGAGTGGGTAGCCATTCCCTTCTCCAGGGGATCTTCCCAACCCAGGGAAGCCCACTTATTTAGATATCTGTACACCCAACTTATCTACCGCTTAAAAGCAGGAACTACCCCTTACTCAACCTTGATTCCTTGATACCTACTCTGTGCCTAGCACCTTGTGGGTGCACTGGGCTGAGAACACAGAGACTCCCCAGCTCTGAGACCTGATGCAGTATTACGTACCGCAGTCCTGCTGCTTGTAATACAGATGCACTTAATCCTGGGAAGAGATTTTGTAGACCATAAAAATAAGTCTACAGCTGGACAATCCATGATCTCCCTCCACAGATGAGTTTTACTTGAGAGCAATTCCAGTTACAGAGATGAAAGTGAGTGTGACTTCATGCCCCACCTGATAGTGATGATCTGCCCAACACTCAAGTCCAAATCATTCAACTGCGCAATAAACACGGCCGCCACTGCTTCATAGAGTGCGGTCCCATCCATGTTGATTGTAGCACCGACAGGTAACACAAATCTAGTGATCCTCTTGTCCACCCGGTTCTTCTCTTCAGCGCAGCGGAAAGTGACAGGCAGTGTTGCTGAACTGTGTGATAGAAAGAGAAAAGATATGATGGCCTAGGAATGCTGGTCCTCAATCCCTGCCTGAAGTAACACCTCAGTTCCAAAAACTAAATTGAGAGCTCAAAGCATGATGGCACTTTTGGTAGGTCCAGGAATCAGAAGTCACTGTGCTTGTCACTGTCCCCAGCTATGACACAACCCCCTCCTGGGTTGCAGGCCCTGCCAAGAGGGAAAGAAATATCCAGTAGGGTGAAGAAATGTGTGTAAGGTCAGAAACTAGGGAGATCATTTCTCAAGGGCAGCTACAAACCACCCCCCAACTGTAATCGGTGCTTCATTAGGTGAGGTGAGAATTGATGAGTGTTGGCCCACAGACTTCTTCCAGACACCCCTCTTCTTTTAAAAAATTAAAAAAAAAAATTTGTTCATTCATTTGGCTGTGTGGGGTCTTTTTGACAGGCAGGATCTTCGATCTTCATTGCAGCATGCTAGGTCTCTTAGTTGCAGCATGTGGGATCCAGTTCTCTGACCAGGAATTGAACCTGGGCCCCCTGCATTGGGAGCATGGTGTCTTGACACTGGACCACCAGGGAAGTGGTGGTCCACCAGACACCTTCTTCTGTTTACCTGGAGGAGATCATGAGAGCTGTCAGAAGAGCCTGGGCCATTCCCATGGCGAACTGGAAAGGGTTCTTTCGTACAATTATGAAATATATCAGTGGGAGAATTACAATGGAGTGGATTGCAAGCCTGTAAACAGGAGAGAGAAACAGGTTCACAGATGATACTATCTCTTCATTTTTTTTTTCCAAATAGCATTTTTACTCATGATACCATTCAACTTTCATTATGGTCCAGTGAGAAAGAGGACAGGAATATATGTCTCCAGTGAACACATGGGGAAGAGGAGACTCAGCAAATCAAATACCTTGTCAAAGTTGGCGGCTAAGCCAGTAGCGAGTCCACCTCTCAGAGCTCACAGAATAGTTGTGTCATGCTGCCAAGCCCTGTACCTGCTTTTCCTGCTGTGCGTGCTAACATGCTTTCACTTCCTTCTGCTGTTGAATTCTTACTCCTCCTCTAAGACTCAGTGAAATCTCCCCCTCCTCCTGGAAGCCTTCCTCACCTTCCCAGGTCCAGCTGACCTTCCCCCCCTTGGTGACTCTGTGGTCAGCAGTATCACAGCACTCAGCCTGCACCATGCCAGTATCCAGCTGGACAGCACCACCATCCAAGAGGGGAGTCAGGGTGTGTGAGGAGGAAGTTATCCTTGCTCTCCTACAGTCATATTTCATGACTGCCCTCTTTTCTTTGTCATTCCTACATTCCAAACTGTTCCTCGTTTCACAAACCAAAGGGCTTAAAAAACGAAACTGATTCAGCAGATGCCATGTAAATGGCAACTCAGAGTTTACAGATCAGTTATGTGAAGCTGAAATAAGAAATGGTCATTTAAAATATAGATCCTGGAGGTCAAGAAAGGGATCTTACAGACAGCCTATGGCTTAGAACTATGAGAAATTGACTTTTCATTTTCTGTTAGGAACCTAGATAGGTTGATGGGGCAGAAACCAGCAGAACCCTCTCATTAAATAGCTCAGCATAATAAATCTCAGCCATACCATGGCCTGGACACAGCCCCTGGCCTCCAATAAGGTGGATGGTCCCACCTCCATTACTACTGGGGCCCTGGAATTTGACTCTGGCCTTCTTCTCTATTGACCAGCAGGAATTTGACTCTGGCCTTCTTCTCTATTGACCAGCATGACTCTGCTTTTAGTAAACAAAGATTAAGAACCTAATCCTATGCAGTGGATACTCCCCAGTGCAACTGAGTTCCAGCAGGTGAGCTGATGATTCCTCCTGCTGGGTGTTTGGGGGAACTGACCTATGTGAGTCAAACTGGTGATGGTTAGTCATTACCCTGGTCCATATTTCTTAGCATATGTGACATATCCTGCCCTCGGACCAACATCTGGTGGCACCATTCATAACCTATCCCACTACATCTCCCCTCATGGAACCAATAAGTGTGCTACAGGAAATATGCACACAGCTGTCTCCTGCTTTGCAAAGTTCCTACCAACCTGAAGATTCTCCAGCACCCTCTCTGATGATGGAGGGTGTGAGAGTGCTTACCAGACCCCCAACAGGGTTGGAACCAACCACCCATCCCACTCCTGCTTGCTCCAGTCCAACTTAATTTAGGCCCTGCCTAATTTCTTTCAGGCTCAGGGTACATGGGGACTGTTCTTACTTGTTTGGTTGGTTTACATCCTTGAAGAAGGGAAGGCCAGGAGAGGGCCAAGAGAGGCTACCAGTGGGTTTTTCTTTTAAGAAATGATTTTAACACAGCTAATAAAGGCAGTGACAAAGCAGGGTCCAGGCTGTTCTGCCAAGATCTGGAAATTAGCACAGTGTGATCCACCTCCAGTTCAGCTGTTAAAGGGCAGCTCTTCTCCCCATTGCTCTCTTATCCCTGAACCTCATCTTTCCCTGCCAGTGGGAGAGAAGCCAGTTTCACCAACTGAAACCCGGCCTCTCAACAGCAATTCATTGGCTCAAATGAGGTTGCAGTGTCTTCCCTTGAGTCTGACATACCCACTCAGGACGGTGGCCATGTAAAGGCCCAGTTTGCGGAATATTTCCCAGTCTTCAACTTCTATGATCTTCCCAGCAATCAGGAACAAGATACCAATTGGCATGTAGCTAGAAAGTAAGCACAAGAAAAGACATACTTCTGTCATCAAATATTTTCTCAGGGTGGAAATGCTGGGAAAGAAACAAGCCAGGGCATATACCTCGGCTTGGGGTGTGCCCTTAGCTGGGACGGGCACAGGGTATACACAATGAAGCTAAGGTCTCAGTTTCAGCCCAGCTGGACTACACTGGCTACAGGTTTCAGCACCCCTGTGCACCTTAAATTCTGCCCACCTATGCCACCATAAGGGGCACTCTGGTCCATACCCCATGCCTTGCTCCTATGCACATACACCCTGCTGACTGTCATGTCTGCAGGTCTCTCTCTAGCTTGACTCTCCAATCATGGCCTCTAGGCTGTTTCTAGACACAGTCATCTTGTTTCCCAGGTAGTGGTATCAGCAACAGAACCAGTTATGTAATAGTTCTGTTGTGATAGCTCTGTTTGTGGAGCTATCATTACATGCTTTGCATTAGGTATTTCACATGCATCATTCACTTAATGTACTCCTCCCAACTCGAGGGGTAGACTTTATTATCCTTTTTAACAGATGATGAAGCTGAGGTTCAGCAGGATTAACTGAAATAACTAAACCCTTTACTGTCACTGTCAAGGTCTATACTTCGAACCAACTTGCTGTGAGATAAGTGAGGCAGAGGCCTCCCAGGCCAGGTGGACTTTTCAGCATCTCCAGGGACAGGGCAGATGCTCAGGTGGTGCAGCTGCTGTGCTTGAATATGGCAGCTTTCATTTGGATGTATTAGGGCCCATGTGTACCTACTGTGTCCCTTCTGCATGGGGCCTGATGAGGAAAGCAACCTGTGTTCTGGAAAACTCCTCCTTTAAGAGTTCTTTCTTACATAAATGCTGCTTGGTTGCAAGATGATCAAGGACCTTGGTAGAAAAGACAATGGCTGATCTCTAGACTCTCATTAGTGAACTGAGTCCTAAGTAATACGTGGAATTATTTAATACTCTAGGGTGAGGTGAGTTGAGAAACATAAACCTTTTCCTTCTAGTTTTGAAGGGTCAGCCATCGGGGGAAGCATGATGGCATTAACTGGTGTCTGCTCACCACATAATGATCTGAACGATTTTCATGGTTGCATCACTCAGAGCATTGAAGAAATCCACCAGAATCTGTCCCCTTTCTCCCATTTTTCCAATGACAATTCCAAAGACGAGGCAAAAGACGATCAAGCCCAGGACATTTATGCCATCTGAATACATGCCTACGACTTTATATTCCTTTGTTTTGTTCTGTGGATCAAAACCAAGAAAATAATATTGATGCGTTATTATAATCTTGTTGGAATGCATAGGCCCTGAAACAGGAAGATATGATAGCCAAACAAACTAGTGACCTAGCAACAACTTAGGATCAATGAGTTTAGGAGCAAAAAAAAAAAAAAAAAGCAAACCACCTACTCATGTATCAAATTTTACTGCCCCCACCTCTGGCATTGAAGTTTGAAGTGTTTTTTCTCCCCCCTTCTCTTTCAGCAAATCCATACTTGAATATTTCTTTTGAAGATTTCTTATTCTGGGGTGTTTTAAATTTTTAATAACTTTAGGCACTTCTCAGTTATTTTAACTAGTAGTTACATTAGGAGTCTGCATAGAAAGATACAAATTAATAATGCAGGAAGCTCAAAATATTTACAAGTGCAGACATTTTTAGGACAGTTTACTATATTTTATCCTGATAATGGACACAGGAACATTTTTTATTGCCTCTAACCTTAGATAACCAATAGGATTTTATTTTAGATAAAAATTAACCAGATATCTACTACTATGAGCCGTTTCTTCATTTTATCCTGGGTAAGAATAGCAGGGGGACTTCCCAGGTGGCTCAGTGGTAAAGAATCCGCCTGCCAATACAGGAGGTAAGGGTACAATTCCTGGGTCGGAAAGATCCGCTGGAGGAGGAAATGGCAACCCACTCCAGTATTCTTGCCTGGAGAAATCTCAGGGACAGAGGAGCCTCCGTGGGCTGCAGTCCATAGGGTTGCAAAGAGTCGGACAAAACTGAGCACATGCACGCACGCACACACAAACACGAGTAGCAGGAGATATACCAAGAGATAATTCAATCCTAGTTGTGCAGCATGAGCTTAACTGAGAGATTTCACAGGAAGATAACATATTCTGAGTGGTGCAAACCAGGTTTATAAAGAATTATGTGGATGAGCCACTGGGATACCAATTATTTCTTACTTATGATCTGACATGATCAGACACATATTTATCGAGCAGTTAGTGTGTTAACTGCATTGGCTACAGCGTAAGATCTTAAAATGCAGCTGGACAGACAAGACTAACTGTGAGAAACATGAGCCAATGATAGCAAGATGGTGTCTAATTAACTGCACAGCCAAGCTATGAGTTACAGGCATCATGTGGAGACTGGAGACATGAATGTGGGCTGTGAAGATAGTGAAGGACAGGCCCGAGCAGCAGGCAGCCAGGAGATAAGCAGAGATCTAGAAAGCAGACTCCAGAAAAATGGTAAGGAAAGGCAGACATCATCACACACCAGGTCTCTGTACTCTACTCATCCTTTACAGCTGCCACACTAATTTAGACTTCCCTATTCTATTAGGGAGTGTTTTATTCTTTCCAACTGTAATATTCATCACTTTTCACATGAGAGCATATATCACATGTGTATTTTCTCTGTCATAATCCCAGTGCCTACCAGAGCTTGGCTCATGGAGAGTGCTCAGAAAAATCTCTGTGGAACCGTATCAAGAAGTAAGAGCAGGAATTCATTGAGGAGTTGGATCTGGATAGAATAGATTGGGCTCACCGAGAAGTAAGCTGGGAAACCAGGGAGGAGCCAGGTCATGGAGGGCTTTCTGTAGGGAAAAAGAGGGAGCTAACTGTGGCCTATTTAATGTGAACTCCTAAATCTACTGCATTTTTTTTCCCCTTAAATTTTTCCTTCCTGAGTGAAGGCAGAGTACATTCAGGAGAAATCTACTACAGGACTACAAATGTACCACTTCAGGCCAACCTGATCTAATCTCCAACTGGAGAAAGAAATGGCAACCCATTACAGTCTCCTTGCCTGGAGAATCCCATGGACAGAGGAGCCTGGCAGGCTACAGTCCATGGGGTCATAAGAGTCGGACACAACTTAATGACTAAACCACCAGAATCTTTAATGATGAAATCCTAAAAGTTCTCAGAGCCAACTGATTTCATTGATAAGTTTATGGCAAACTCCTGGTGGCAAAACCTATCCTGAACTGAGATAAGGCTACAGATAGCCTATTTTTCTTACTTAGTAGCCACATTGTAAGTTAGTTGCAGAAATGTTGATGTGCTTGATTCTAGATTATTATTGCCAATTCCACTTAAAGATGTTGTATAACATATAGTATACACACCACCTGGCCCTTCTAAAGTGAAAAACTCTGGACTCAGAATCACATTTGGGCAGAGAGTTTTAAATAAGGAACTGCAGGCCTGCATTCCATGTTTATGTGGTCTTGCAAGTCTAACGATGTTCCCAGAGATACCCAACTCAACTCTGGGTGGCAGAGACAGAAGTGACAGGACTCATTCTTTTCTCTGTATGGTTCAGTTGCTCTTCATTATTCTCAGAAGTTATACTCTATACAGTGTCCGCCAACACTGACTGAGGGAATATTGAGGAATGTTCCTAAGGGGAAACAGAGGATTAGGTTCCTAGGAATCAACAGTAACATCATTTTGGTCAAATAATCAACATGAAACCTTGTTTTCTCTGCATTTTAGTTCAAAGACACCTTATTTAATATATATTGTTTATAATCGCTAACATCAAACTCACTTTAACTCATGCCTGAATGAGACTTCTCTAACACATGTATTTTCTCACATGAACCATCAGCTTTTTCTTGCATTTGGGAACACTAACTAGCCAGCAGTGCAGCATGATGGCTGGGAGACATTTCAAACAGTGAAATTACCAAGCTGACGCACAAAACTGAGAAAAATGTGGCAAAGACACACCACACAGAGGACACATATTTACCATGTAAGAGCTGAACCAGGGAGGGGATGTGTGTATACATACTGCTGATTCACTTCGTTGTACAGTAGAAACCAACATAACATTGTAAAGCAATTATACTCCAATAAAAAAAGGAAAAAAACAAACTGCTGAACCATGAGGGCAGAACATAGCCTTGTTCAACCTCAGCTGGGACATGTGCATGGGCAAATTACATTTTTCACCACTCTTGGTGTGTCTGTGAATGACCAGCACCATACTGATTTTCGGGTTACAAATGCATTTAGTACACAGGCAAATTCACAAATGTGTTATCTAAGAACAATGAGGATCTACTTATTTCCATCTCCTGCTCACTCATGACTTGGCCCCTGCCTATTGGGGAAGGGAGCAGACAAAAGGATGTAAGTGGTACCTTGGAAATGGCAGTTGTCATGATGGCTGTGACAGACGCTTCGGTGCTGTTTGTCCCTGGCTCCTCAGAAAGCTTCACTTCTTCACGTGTGGTTTTGTACTGCATGTTGGAGGGGGAAAATGTCAAAGAAATTAAAAAAGAATTTTTAAGCTCCTAAGGATAAACCATAGGAATGTTACTTTGGCCAGATAAGTGTCACTGAAAGGTTCCACCTCTGAGGCCTCTGTCGGCTTTGGTTTTGGACGGTACTACCCCTGAGGCTTTGGAAGCAAAACTGGGATTGAGAACTCCAACCCTCTGACCGCCACAGCCGCCATTCAATGGTGTCAAAATGTTCTCTCACTTTTGTAGTAAGGGACCAATTAATGGAGCAACAATGTAGAAGAAAGCATAGGTTTTATTTTTAGGTACTTTAATAGATTCTACAGGAATCCTGTCAATCATTTTTGTTTCTATTTATTTATTCATTTATTATTTTTAACCTGGGGAAAAAATACCACATCACTTTAAATTTAGTCACCATGATTTTAGTAAACATCAAGAACTATATGGTTGTTCCAAAGTCAATAGTCCCTTTAGGGCTATTACGTGAGTGAGATTTCTGTTAAATTCCCTTCCTTCACCTGTTTGATTCTGCTGAGCTTCAGCAGAGACATTTAAGAAAGAGCTAGTATATCATCACAGTGGGCATAAATGTTACTCCTACAAGGCTCTGCCAACACCAAGAACCTTACAAGTGACCACTGTGGCTGAACCGCAAATGCACCCCTTAAATAGAGGTGGTTCTGTGCCTCTTGGAGGAGCAATTTAATTGCCATTTTTGTTGGTCAACATAGAGGTCTCTGTTTGTGTAATTTATGTAAATGAATTCAGCAGCTTGTGATAGACTCAGCTGTCTTAAAGTGCATAGATAAACAAGAGAAGAAGGCTTAAAGGAAATGGAGTGAAGAGATTGAGAAACTTCCCTGAAGGAAAAAAGTGGCTTTGTTACATTGCTCTGTAGAGTGCCAGCAGTGGGAACGTAGTGATGAAAGAAAATACCAGATACCAGGAACACTAACCACCCACACGGGTCACATACTGATTTCCCAATGTGGGGGTGGAGGTTACCTTTCCCAATTGCATTATATCTGCAGATAGTCTGAGCTTCTTCACAAACATAAAGTGGTTCTCTGAAACTACGTGCTAGAAGCCAGATTTGAAAACACTCATTATTTGACAGGTTCTTGACTTGCTCCAGTTGAAACCATTTGGGGAAAAAATGAAGCCTAAGGGAAAAGGGAGCAGTGTAAGCTACAACAGGCATGCTGCTATGGCTGGAAAAACTGGGGTTGACAGGTCACCTGAAATTCCTTCATTCACAGGTATTAATACATTGCCCCCTTTTTGATGGGCTAATTCCATTTCTTAGGTCATAGAAGAAAAAAAAATCTTAATGGGTAAGGAGGAAGAGTAGAACAGCTTGAGGGCAAAAATCATTATCCTTACCTGCTGAAAACAGGCTTGGACAAGGTTCTCAGGGAACATATTCCTGTTGGAGACATGAAAAGCAGTATCACATTAAGACAAAAATGGTTTTTGTTTGTTTTTGTTGCACCCAATACATTGATGGAAATGAGTATGCTATAGAATTAGTACTATGGTTTTGGTCTCGCCTTTGCATAATGCTTTCTGTATTAAGATTTCTTTTTCCCTACTGAGCTTCAGTTAGGGGATAGAAAGCTCTCCTAACTAACCATCACACTTAACTGATTCATTGAGTAGCCAACACGGTTGCTGTCCTTGGTGAAATATGTACTAGCAGGTGGACATGCACATTTAAGAGACTTCTTTAAGATTTTGCACATTTCTGTTTTCATCAATGAAAGTCGACTGCACTTGTTCCCAAATTCTTTATGCCAGTTGCAAATATCATTGTAATTATTGAATGAAATATGTAAATCAATGCAATATGAGTATGAAAAGGAAGGAGCAGTTTCTATGAAAACTAAGCTGGAATGCCTGGAAACTCATTCAAGGCAACTGAGTAAAATTTCTATTGTTGTGTTAGGTAAGGGAAGACAACTGAAATAAAAAGAACAGCCAAAAGAACTCAGCTCTCAGCTTTCCTTGCAACTTCTAAGGGTTTTGTTGCTTTACTTCATGAAAACTGAGCCTGGAAATTGTAGATGATGCATTTATAAAGGCAGCCTAGGCAACAGAAATATGAAATTACAATCAACTGACACAAAGAAATAACCTTGGCCCCACATAAAAAAAGGGTAAATATATGCCTTTAAGTTTTAAGCATAAACAAAATATGTAGTGCATATTTATGACTCTCTGCTTTAAATGCTGTTTTTTAAAATTAACTGACCAATCTGTAGCCACAATTGTTTCAGATAAGAGGGTTTCTCCTGTACAATTAAAAAATATATTTCTTCAAGTTGCTTCAGAACCAACTACCCAATACAGCCCAGCATCTTAATGCAACAAGTATCTCTGGGCATCTCTGTCCATCCTAAACCCTGACAGAGACCCTGTTCCTTCCATTCCTTTGTGGAACCATGACCTGGCAAGCAGGACTGGATATGTAACTTGCAGGGACCAGGGCAAAATTAACACATACAATAATTTTAAAATTATGAAAAAATTTCAAGATGGCATTAGCAGAGCATTAAACCAATCATGGGGCCCTGTGCAACCACATAGGCTGTATGCCTGTGAAGCCGTGCTGCTGGTCGGACACCCACCTGATCAGGTCTAACATGGCATCCACTGTGCTGACTTCAGGGGTGTTCCCTGTCCTGTCAATTTCATTCACTTTCTGGGTGACACCAGGCTTGATGCTCACCACCAGCACGATACCTGTAACCAAAGATAGCACCCACAGAGCATTAAGAATCTCCCAGGGCACCTGATACCTCTTGTGCATCCATCTTAGAGTACCAGGCAATAGTGGGATGGGGACCCTGAGAAATCTACTCAAAACACCAAGCCTCAGCAGGAACCTCAGCAGAATTACTGCCTTAATTACTTCCCATCTAAATAAAGCAGAAGTAACTCTTCCTGTGTGTTTTTAAAAAATGAGTGGCTGCATTCCAGAACTGCTTCTAGAAACACTTGCTGATGAGAATGCTCTTTTCTTCCTTAGCTTATGAGATCTGCCTCGGCAGGGGTTGGGGTGAGAAGGAGTTATTTTCCAACTCAGGGTTCTCAGCATCTTTCTGTAAGTTTTACCCATAGATGCTGGTATTTTTCTGAGGGTCACAGAGAATAAGCCTTATCTTCCTGTCATACCACAGCCATCAAATATCTGAAAAGCTGTGTGTAACCCACAAAAGGATTTAGGTTAGGAAGGGTTGTTCTGTGTGACTCTTAGGGGGTGCAATGAGAACAGGAGTTCTGAGGAGAGAGAGTTGATCTTGCTATAAAGAAAAACTGTTTAAACAGAGGGCATTTGGGGCTTCCCTGGAGGTCCAGTGAGTAAGACTTCATGATTCCACTGCAGGGGATGCAGGTTCAATCCCTGGCTGGGGAACTAAGGCCCTGCATGTTGTGTGGTCAAAAAATAAAAACAGAATCTGAACGCACCATTTTGGAGCTAATGGGTTCTGCTTGAGGTGTCCAAGCAGAGGTGGGAGGTTTTAGGAAAGACCAGGTTGATGGACTGGAGGGGAGTAAAGAAAAGGCCCCATGCCCTTATCACTCTTCTCAAAGAGAAATGTCCCTCCAACAGGGTAGGACTTAAGAATGCTGAATGCATTAGTTTTCCTGATAGGAGGAGTCAGTGGGCAATACAGGGGCCATGAATGGGTGTGGTCTACTCTCCCCTCTCAGGGTTGCAGAAAAGAAATCAGCCCAGCTTTGTTCTTTGTGTTGGCCTCCCTCAGGAGCCTAATGAAATGTGGTTTTGGTTTAAGGCAGGGTTCAGGGCCTCCTAGGTTGCCTGGCTTAATACTATTAAAATCTTACCACATCCTCAGTTCATCAAAGCAGAGCTGTAAGGGTCAAGCTGGCTGCAACATTTGAGTTCACTGCCCCCTCTCTTACCACTAGGGGCATCCTTCTTAAAATGTCATGCTAGGTCACAAAGGATAGACCATACTTTTTTCACAAAAGTGTCAAAGGTATATGAGCAACCATAGTCCCTTATTAGAATATTCTCCCTCTTTCAAGTGAAATTTATACTTGGCAAGATTTCTATTAACTCTGGGCACTATGTGAAATTAGAAATGTACTGAAATGCTGTATGTTTGAAATACTTTATAATTATACTCAAACCCACTATTATAGACTAATTATCAAGTTTAAAGATTAGCTCTTTGCTTCACTTTCTTCGACCCAATGATTCAGATAAGGTGAAGAACTGTCCCTCTCTCTGTTTATTTACTGGAGACATTAATAAGCAGTATCATGGCTGAAACTCAATCAGTATTACATTTGTTCATATAAAAGGTTCTGTGCTGACTTCAAACCTAACAGCTTCATAGCAGTTTAACAATTGTACTTTCTGATCTTTAAAAAAACCAACTACTTTTAAATGGAAAGTCACAATTATACAGAAAAAAAAAAGGATTCAGAAATAAATTTTACCTAAAACTACGGCAATGAGAGTGGTACAGAAATAATAAACCACAGCACGCAGACCAATTTTTCCAGATACGTTGGAATCCAGTGTAGCAACACCTGAAAGGGCGAGAAGTCAAATTATATTACTCGGAGAAGAATTTCCAGGACTGGTGGCAATTCAGTCCTCAAGGTGTGAAAAGAGCTGAGCGGTATGCCTTTATCTGCTAGGTCTGTCTCACACATTTTGTTAGAATAAATGCATTGGGGGAAAGAACCATTTCAGTATTCCAAATGCAGAATTAAGACTGAAGGTTAGTAGGGGGCAAGATCCCCTCTGGCTAAATCCCCACCACCTCCGCTCTGAGTGAGCGCTGTGTCTGTGACTCCTGAGAGGGGGGGTCATGAGACAAGCAAACGGAGTCCCCCTTTGGCATCTGCTCTAAGAACTTTACCATTGTATCACTCGACATTCTTTTGAGATTCAGTATTAGGGAAAAGTTTACCTTAAAGAACTGAGAAGGTTCTTTCATCACATAATAAAAATCGTATAACTCGTGATCATTTCCCTTTCTGCCTTTCCTGTCAGGAATCTCAGAGTTAACTAAAAAGATAACTTTTATGTGTGATTATCAAGTAATATATATGTTCATTACAATTATTTAAAGAAAGGAAAAAATATAAAGATGAAAACAAAAATCACTTCATGTCATCAGCTATTGTTAATATTCTGGTGACTATTATTCCCATATCTTTTTCTCAATTTTTTATAAACAGGGCTGAGATAGTTTTATAGTTTATAATCCTCTCTCTTCTACTAAATACAATATCATAAGCATTTTTCTTATTGTTACAAACTCACCCTGCAGATAATTTTAAAGGCAACATAATCTTCTGTCATGGTGCTGTAACATATAATCTTCTGTCATGTGACTGTACCACAAGGTATTTATTTAATCATCTCCTTAGTGATGGATTTTTAGATGATATCAGGACCAAATTCAGTAATAAAGCACAGTCATTTCATTATCCTTCCTGGCTAGCAGATTTCCTTCTTTTCATGATTTTCAAATTGCTATGTTTAAAACCATATTCTGTATGGCTTTCATTATGAGACTCCTTAAAACCCTTGTTTTAATAAGTTGGGATATAAGTGAAAATTTCTGAGGGCAAAGATAATCTAAGAAACTTATGACCACATTGTTTAGATCTAGTTTCAAAAGGTCTTTGGGTGGGCGAGAGAACCACTTTTGCCTTATTTCAAATATTCAGAAAAATGACTGAATGTTACTTGACTTACAATGGTTGTATGGAATGCCAAGGATAGATACAGAGGTGGAAAGCATACATCCCCACTTGCTAGAAACCTTTGCCCTCCATCAGAGATGCTTGTATAAATGTGGTCAAATGATGCATCTCTCTAACTGGACTGCTTCTATGTGATACACGAAGCCAGGTTGAGAAGCAACCAAATCATCTTTCAGCAAGCTGTCATTTGGAAGTTTCAGACTACCCTGTCCGATTTCCAAAATGAGAATCACATTTTGAATCAAATGATTACCACAGAAAATCATTTTCTGAGTCTTCGACACGCATGAGTTGTTCCAGAACTGTTACCCTGAAGTACAGGGTAGCAGGAAAAATGAAGAGGTTGCCATAAGGCAACCCCAAGGAAAAGGTAGTAAACATGCAGGCTATCCGCAAACAAAAGTAGGTTTTATATTCACTCCTCACACTATAAAAGGCCGATCCATTTTTTTTTAAGTGACTAGGGAGGGTGGGATGTTTCAAGAGAACAGCATCGAAACATGTATGTTATCTAGGGTGAAACAGATCACCAGCCCAGGTTGGATGCATGAGACAAGTGCTTGGGCCTGGTGCACTGGGAAGACCCAGAGGGATCGGGTGGAGAGGGAGGTGGGAGGGGGGACCAGGATGGGGAATACATGTAAATCCATGGCTAATTCATTTCAGTGTATGACAAAAACCACTGCAATGTTGTAAAGTAATTAGCCTCCAACTAATAAAAATAAATGGAAAAAAAAATAAGTGACTAGGGGATTATGCTCCTCAAATATAATCATACATAGTTGACGTTTGGGAAAAATCTGTAAGGAAGGTGATGATGATGATAACAGAAAAAGACATCTCTCACTCTAAACACACCATTCCTCTGGCTGTTGATTGCTTCTTCTGAAGTTATATTTTGAGGGAAGAGGCTCTGGCCTCTAGCAGTCACCCCAGTATGTTGTTAAGGGTTCATTCATCAACCTCCAGAGCAAGACTGCACAATTACTGTATGGTGAGCATATTGCAACAGTCACATCCTAGAATAACCTGGATGGTAAGATTCTATTTCTTTGGGAAAAAGAATGTGGTGTGCTGAGCAGACTTTGTTCTCCTAATGTTCAGACAATTAAAAACAATAATTCTGTAAGAAACCATAATGACAAAAAAATAGTGAAATAAAATGACAACAAAAAGATACTGAAAGCTACAACTCAGAAACCAATGAACTAGCTCATATTTAGTTTCAGTCTCTTAAAAAAAGAGCAAACAATGATGCAAATGTATAATCTTGCTAAGTATATTATTTGATTATAAAATGTTCCTATTTTTGAGCTCTATACATTATTTTGATAAACAATTATAATGATTATTCATGACAATAATGGTGGTTAAAAAAAAGAAAATTACCAATCTATAGATATTTAAGTAACCTGTACAAGCACCTGCTCCATGACCTAATGGAAGATGTATTTTCAGATATATTGTCCTTTGCTCGACATCCAGTTTAAGCATCTCCCAGCCCCTAAGGTGCCAACAAGTGACAGATTTGCAGGGTGGCTGCCGAACTGTCCTCGGGTATGTGTCTCCCTGCCCTCTCAGGATTTTCTTCCAGCAGTGAAACAAATTAAATTTATGTGGGTAATTTTTTCCAGCATATGTTAATATGTCTTAATTTGTCTTAATGACTTGGCCACAGGCTGGTGCCTTTGCTTTTATTCCAGGTCCCAGCTGGCAATAAGAGGCTTCATAATAGATTCTTGGTGGAAATACTTTATTTATTTATTTTTTATTTTTTGGAAATACTTTAAACACAGCCCCCAAAGTAGTCAGCTCCTGGCTGTTGTGAGTACAGTAACTCTCTTGTAGTTACTTTCAGGAAGAACTTTGTTCCCCATTTCTCAAATCTACTGAGGTCCTGCAGATCTCCTGGATATATCAGAAATGCATTCAAATCAACAGTCATACTTCTCCACATCTCTAGAGTTACCCCTCTACCTTTCTATCCACCACTGATTGAGGGCAAAGGTGGCACCTAAATCCAGACTCTCAACATCTCGAGGATGTTGAGGATGGGGTGGGGTGTGGCTGCCATAAAGGGAGGGAACATATGAAGGGAAACAGTCCAATATTTGAAAACCTCTATAACAGGTACATTATTGAACTTAACATGAATATAAAATGTCTGGATGGATAGTCTAGCCACCCAGTTGCCAGTAATAACAAGGATAATGATGATTATTATAATGAAAATGACAATAGACACTGTGTATTGAGCAATGATGAGGGGTGTGTCATCTCCTGATGTTCACTGACTTCCCTGGTGGCTCAGAGGTTAAAGCGTCTGCCCCCAATGTGGGAGACCTGGGTTCGATCCGTAGGTTTGATCCCTGGGTCGGGAAGATCCCCTGGAGAAGGAAATGGCAACCCACTCCAGTATTCTTGCCTGGAGAATGCCATGGATGGAGGAGCTTGGTAGGCTACAGTCCATGGGGTCGCAAAGAGTCGGACACGACTGAGTGACTTCACTTTCACTTTCATAATCCCATCAGGTCGGCATGATTACTCCCATTTTACAGAGAAAACTGTGGTTCAGAAAGGCTAAGTAACACGCCAGGGTCCTACAGCAGCTGAGCAGTGGAACTGGTTTGACCCCCAAAGGCCAGATCTTAACCATATGTACGCCACCCTGGGTCTATCCATGCGCTACGAAATTCTAGACCAGTGCAGCCCAGCAGACCTTCCTGTGGTGACAGAAATGTTCTCTGTGCTGTCCACTACAGTAGTAGTGGGCACCAGCTACAGATGGCTAGGGAGCAGTTGACATGTGGTTACTGTGACTAAGGAACTGCTTTTAAATGTTGTTTAATCTCAATTTAAATAGCCACATGTGGTTAATGGCTACCATACTGAACATCAACACAATCTCAAGGTCTCACCGGAGTGTCCAACATTTCCTGTGTGCTCAACAATGTTGAATGAACAAACTCAAGCTTAACTCCATTACAATAAACCAGGTAAACGATGAAGATAAACCAAATAAGCCATCATCTCCTGGTGTGTTTTTCTGTCCCCATGCTGACCACAGCTTTCTGAAGACCGAGGCTTATTCTTTTCTGGATCCTCAGTGCATTAAGTAAGGTGCTTTGTGAATTTTGTACTAAATGTTTCCATGTGACAGAAAAAGCTACACTTCTTATGTGTGTATGTGTGCTCAGTCATGTCTGACTCTTCGTGACCTCATGGGCTGCAGGCTGCCTGGCTTCTCTGTCCACGGAATTTTCCAGGCAAGAATACTAGAGCGGGTTGCCATTTCTCTCTCCAGGTGATCTTCCCAACTCAGGGATCGAACCTGCATCTCTTGCACCTCCTGCATTGGCAGGCGGGTTCTTTACCACTGTGCCACCTGGGAAGCCCACTGCACTTCTCATGGCTCCTTACAAAGTGAGGTCATTTCAAAGATCTCCTGTGTTAGAGATTTAGGAACTTGGCAGGTAATCTCCCTAAAAAACCACTCACACAGGGCAGTTTGGTATGGTTCCCAGAGTGGCAAACAAGAACGCTTTTCACTCATAACAGACCTCCGTGTGAGAACATATTTAGCATTTTAGTGTTTCTCTACTTTTTTTTTTCATTATTATGTGCACCAACGGACTTGCCCCTTGCAGAGTGTTTTAGATATTTTTTGCTCATTGCCACACCATGCAATTTTAATAGCACAAACTGTACATCTGTTCATATACTAAATGTGTGTGTGTATAAACATATACATATATATACACACACACACACACACACACACACACACATATATATATATATATATATATATA